TTAAATTATTATAAAAAAATTAAGAAAATTACATAAAAAATGAGAACTTTTAAATAGTTGATTTGATATTAACATTGATATATTTTTTCAAAATTTTATGATATCTTCAAATTTATATTTTATTCAAAAATAAAATCATTATTGATTTCTTAAAAACACATAAATCCGTATTATAACATCGATAGAGACAAATAATAAAATAGAACATTAAAATCGAGATGTGTCTCGCTGCATTGCACGAGTACTCTTCTGGTTACTCAATAAATCAATCATATTAAACATTTTAAATTATATTGTATACTAAAAACTAAAAAAATAAAGAACTAAAATCATACATTAGATCATGATATGCCACAAATTTAACGTAACGTGAGACATGAGCCTTGAATCACATGGCCATAACGATGCAAGGCTTTTAGAATTGATTATAACATATCAACAAGCTTTTCCCCCTTTTTCTTTATGGGTTTTTTGTATAACTTCTTTTCACCTATCAAACTGTGGGTACAGGGCTGACCCTGGCCACGTGTAGCTCGTGCGGCCATACAGGGCATCAAAGCCTAAAGGGGCATCAAGTTGTCATTTATTACTAGTTTGGAGTTTAATAATTTAAGAATTGGAAAAGTGAACTTTAACTATAAAAACAGATCCAAGGCCTAGTTGGAAAAGTTGGAAAGTTGGAAAAGTTTTTATTTGTATAAGGTTGTCTGTATGAATTAATTTGTTTGTATAAGTTGGAAAAGTTTTTGTTTGGGAGAGTTTTTTTCTCCATATGTAAGGAGCGTTTTTTTAGTTGGAATGACATGTATGAAAAAAAAAAACTTGGCTTTCTATATAAAGCTCCCCTAGAAGCTTAATGGATAAGTCACTTTCTATATCATTAAGCCACTACGAAACAGTCATGCATAGTTGAATGAATAAGCTGTTAGTTCTATTACACTTATTAAGTTGCTAACAGATAGGCCCTTAATTAGTCTTTAGTCGTTAGACATGTAACTTTTGAGTTTTACTTGTTGTTTACTATAACAGTAATTTAGATGTAATTTACTATTTTAGTTAAAAACTGATTATAGTTTTCCTTGTCTTTTAAGTCCTATATATTGAAATAAAATTTTTATTTTGCTAATTTTAATTTGGAAAAAGGAAAATTGGAAAAGAATGAAGCACGATCTTAATTCAGAATTTATCTTTTTATCATTTTATATTTTGTATTCGGAGTTTTGGTTTTTATGTCCCTCCATTGTATTTTTTTAATTATAATTAATAAAAATCAACATGAGGATGACATACTTAGCTTGAATAGCTTCTAAACTCTTTTAAAAAATCGAATGTTTCGTTGTTTCATTGGCTTAAAAAAAAATAGGCTTAAGAACATTTTTTATTATTTTCACACAAGACATCAAAAATCTTAGGACCGGTCTTGCATGGGTATCACTCGGAAACACTTGTTCAAAGTCAAACGTAACCGGGATCATCTCCTTCCAAAACCTTTAATATTAAACTAAATCGAGATAATGCTTAAATAAAGTAATATTTCAAAAAAAAATAGTTGTTTATATTGTCATCTAACTTATCAGTATATTTATATTAAAGTTGAACAACTAATGTTTCACCCAACGTCCAGCCAAAGACGTACCTAAAATTTATCTTCAAACAATGACACCATTTTACTATAAGAAACAAAGATATAATTATTTTTTTACAAAATTATCATTTTCTAGATTATGCGATGATATCGAATAGGGTGGGTGGATTAGTTTGTATGTGAAGAGAAGCTAATAATAAGAAAACAAGTGAAGAAAGAAGAAAGGTGGAAACATGGAGGCACGTAGTTTTAGGGGTTGATGACCCGAAAACAGAAACCGGATCGGACGTGAAGCAGATAAAAGGTCTGTTTCCGCCATTCGCAATCCGGTGAGGGTGAGGAGAGAGAAACAGGAAAAGAAGCCATTTCTGATTTCTCTCTCTCTTCCTGCATCAGCCCCCCTGCTTCCTCTATTTTCCTTTTCTACTTTCGCCTTTTCAATTTCGTTCTCATTGTTTATTACATGCTTATGGGGTATTATGCTTTTCCTTTGTCATTTCCATTTGATTTTAACCCCTTTTTGGTTAAGATTTTACTCGTAAGGATTCATTGATTCATATCATTTGAATAATGCAGAATTCAATTGCGCAAAATCATAGATAGATAGAAAGAGAGAGAAAGAGAGAGAGAGATTATTTCTGTGTCCGCCATTGTTGAAGGATGCAGTGCTGTTGTAAGAAGAAGAAAGAGCCCAAACCAGAGGATGCAGCATCAAACAATTGTAATACAGTACCACCTCGTGGAGTACCTTATGGTGGAGGAGGTATTAATCAATTCTTTGGATCTTAAGATATAAATGTAAATTTATTATGCATTATAATTGTTGAATTTAGGCAGCATGAGAGAGCCAAGAGCTGCAAAGACAGGAGGTCCTCAGAAAGCCTTGCCGATTGAAGCACCATGCTTGACATTGGATGAGCTGAATAAGATGACAGATAATTTTGGTTCAAAAGCTTTGATTGAAGAAGGCACAAATTGTCGGGTTTTCTACGGAAAGCTAAGCGATGGGGAAGAAGTAGTCATAAAGAAGCTGGATACCAGCACTTTGCCAGACCCCGACACCGATTTCACAGAACAGGTCCAAGATCAAACGAATCATCAAATCATGTTTCTTTTTCTGTAATGTAATATGTGTGTTCTCTTGTTGCAGATATCCATGATTTCAAGACTTAAAGATCCGTATTTTTCTCAATTACGCGGTTATTGTCTGGAGAAAAATAATCGAATCTTGCTATATGAATATGCAACCATGGGTTGTTTGCATGAGATCTTGCATGGTAACCATGTTATCTTTCTTTTTCTTTTACTGGAATTTGATGAGATCTCTTTTCTTTCTTATATGGGTTTGATGTTTAGGGAATAAGAGTGGGAATGTTCTGGACTGGGGCCAGAGAGTTAAGATTGCTTATGGTGCAGCAAGAGGTCTTGAATATCTACATGAAAAGGTTCAGCCTCCAATAGTTCATCGTGACATAAGGTCCAGCAACGTGCTAGTTTTTGATGATTATGAAACCAAAATAGCCGATTTCGGCTTGAGCAATGTATCTTCTGAAAACGCAGCTCGGCTGCACTCAACAAGAGTTTTGGGTACTTTTGGCTACCATGCTCCTGAGTAAGCCTTAATATTTCTGTACATCACAAATGGTTGCGCTTTTTTCGTTCAAATACAATATTGATGTGTTTTGTATTCAGATATGCAATGACAGGACAGCTAACACAGAAGAGCGATGTGTATAGTTTTGGGGTGGTTCTTTTAGAACTTTTGACAGGAAGGAAACCGGTGGATCACACAATGCCCAAAGGACAACAGAGTCTTGTTACTTGGGTGTGTCTACATTCGTCCCAAAAACGAGTTTTACATTTGATTTTTAAGTATTGAATGAAGAACAGTTGGTTTGTATGTAACAGGCAACTCCAAGATTGAGTGAGGACAAAGTGAAGCAATGTGTTGATCCCAAATTAAACAATGATTACCCTCCAAAGGCAGTTGCTAAGGTATTTCTTTTTCATATTTCCAGTAGTAAAGAATGAAAATATCAAATAACAAAGGCGAGTTTGATCATCAGTTGGCAGCAGTTGCGGCATTGTGCGTCCAATATGAGGCAGATTTTCGGCCAAATATGACAATTGTGGTGAAAGCATTGCAGCCACTTCTCACCTCCAAACCAGCAAGCTGAGAAAGGATCAATCTTGACCTTTGTGAATATTATTAGACCAGCAAGCAGGAACCAGGTTGGTTGGTCGGTTGGTTTGTGTAACCAAAAACGACAATTTTGTTGCTAAGATAACGATAAACACAACTAAAAAATCCCATGTATCCAAAGTTTTTCATTTGATTGTTTTCTTCAGCATATGTAACAACAATCTTGATGCATCTGCATGTTTACTACAATAATAGATTAGATGAACCCAGTGTTGGTGTTGTTCTAAATTCCTGCAACTTAATTCTCATTTGGTTTGATACAATCTATACATGTAATTTAGGATATCAACTAAAACGAATTTAAAGATTTTGAACCCAGCCTTCCTAGAGGTCAATAGTTTAAACCTCACCAGCCATGGAATTTGCCAGAAGCCGAATCATTGCAATTAACACAAAACGATAATACGTTATCAATTCCCATGGAACTAGAACACAAACAATAAAAGAAAATCACTTTCCTCCATGTGGGGTATGTATGTAACCAATTTGAATAGTAACAAAAAAAATGTCTGAGATCCCTTCTTCTTCCTTCACCTATTTCCCCAACCCACAAAGCCATGATGGATCATCACTGCTGGAATTATATCTCTATTAAATAAAAAGGAAAACAAGAAAAACAGAAAGAAACTGAACTGAACATGATCGATCGATTTTTCTGAGTCAAGGGTATCATGATACAGAGTAGTAGATCATTGCACAAATTCCCTACAAACACTACTCATCTACAGTTTTCACTTACATGCTGTCCTTTTACTTTTCTTCGCCATTATTTAGTTTTTCAACCTCATCTGCACGCACAACAATGATGACATAATTATTTGGATCAATTGTAATAAAACAGCAGAAAGTAAGAAAGACATAAGATTATATGGATACTTACTTGCCTAACGTCGTGTCCGTGGCTTACATCGAAATTCAGCCAAGAGTGCAATGTGATCTGAGGACCATTCTGGAGAAGGAAGTGCTGTATCTTTCCTCAAGCTATCCTCATCCACAAGCTCCAACAATGATTCCACACTCAAACTATCCGCTGAAGCCATACAAACTATTAGCTTTTTGTATTCTTGTAGTTCTTGATTCATTTTCATGCAAATAATAACATACCTGAGTAAAAGATGTAATCAAGGGTGCCAATGAAGTCTCTTGTGCAATTTGTAAACAAGGGTTCGTTTGTATTAGGGTCCACTCTCCTCTTCTGTTGCTCATAACCATGACCAACCCCAATTCTAGCAAAAGATGAGTATGCACTTACCTGCAAAAGTATGCAATCACATTTTAAAAAAACCACTAAGAAATGAAAGTCAATAGTTGACGGTGTGTAGGCTACCAAGGGAAGAGTGTGAGTCAGTTTGCTGGCAGGCCGCAAAATTCCAAGAGGATCTACAGCTAATTCCGGATGCATCGGATCAACTTTCCCAATTGCAAGAAGTGCATGAGGAGCACTGCAATTGAGTTTAATACATATGATTCAATAAAGATAGTAAAGTAATAATGGTTTTTTCAGAATTTTCCTAAATACATGACCAAAGAAATACACCAGACCTTCCTGGAACTGAATTGAAGTCGCCACAGACTAACATTGGAATATCTGCACTGGCAGCTATCTTTTCCAATCCTTTTAACAGAGTGTGAACCTTCAGCATTGCCAACCACAAAGATTTTGTAAATAATAATACTAAAAGACAGAATTATTTTTCCTTTCATCATGTAAAAATTTCAAAGAAAAACAAATACAAAGACAGATATGGGAGAAGAGAACAACCTGCCATAGTTTCACATCCTTTAGATCATGTTGAACGTTCACATGGGTATTTGCCTACACTCCAAAGACAAACAAAAAGGATAGAACAAAATTGGAGGATGAAATAGAACTGGAACACTTCAAGGACATGAGGCAAGTAACAAGATGAACAAGTAGATAACATCTCCCTATACAAAGAAAAAATAATCATGCTTATGGACATAACACACTATGCATTTCACCAATAAATAATTTAGAAGTCACATTAACATACATCATGAACAATTATTCATGCTCGAACTGAGTTTTCTCAGCTTGGAATCAACAGTTGACTTCTGCACATTTCTCTGCCTTCACAACAGATCAAGGTTCTACCATCCGTTACCAAGTTCTCCTTCCAGACACAGGTTTTACAGGCCTACACCTCAAAGATTGAAGTATCACATACTTCTCTCCCACTTCCATATTTTCTTTAACCAACCTCTCTCTTCCAAAACAAGCATCAGCAGATACCACCGAATAACAAAAAACGGGGACAGGTGAAAACCATATTTTCCTTTGGTCACTCTTCTCTTATCTGATATCCAGAACAAGAATCAGCAGAGACCTCCCAGAAACGAAAATAGGGACAGGTGAAACATGCCAAACAAACAGGCCACTCTTTGCAAAGCACTCAAATGTAAACCTTGTTTAAATCTTCCTTAACCAAATTTTCCATGAGCAATTTAGCAGACGATTACTTTTCTTTGTTCCTATTCCTATCATTTTGTAGAGTTTCACGCACTTGCTTAAACGAGTTGATTCACAGCCAGTCCATGATTGGGTGCATGAACACACCAGATTGTACAGTCCAAATCGTGGTCCGGATAAGTTGCCAACAAACTAAGTGATAGATTGTACCAAGCAACCAACAAACAACAATGATATAATTGTCAAATAATATTAATAATCAAAAACTTCCCAAATTCCACCAGAAGTGGGTTATGATATGTAAAAGAACTAGTTTTGCAAGTAGATAATTTTTTCTAAGAGCACCAGCAGCTATTTAGTATCAAGCTAAGCTTCAAGTTACAGGAATAAAAGAATGAAACACAAGTCATTGAAGGTCTGTAGGCTCTAGCGGTGCTTCTGATATGGTCTTCTTGCATTGTGATTCAGAAAACAGGTTCAGAGTCCACAAAGAAGATCACTGGTTCATAAATGTTAAGAGTTTATTTGCTCAATCCAACTGTCTGCTGGCATAGCCATTTGACCAGTCTGTATAAGGTGCACAAGTGGCTCAAGAAAGATACTGGGAAGCTGCTGTTCAGCACATGGATTTTATATATGTATATATATACATATATATGTGAAAGTTATTAATAGAGGTAGATGGGATACTGTGTATGTGTCTCTCTTTTCAATGATGCCCAATGACCTTACTGAAAATTGAAAGGGTCTTCTGCAAACTTCGTAATGTTTTTTATATTGCAATCCCGATACACAGTTTTCACCTAACTTTTAAAGGCAACGGATGTTGAGACGTAAAATTAGATGAGGTAGAAAAGACAAGTGTCTCTATTTAAATCTTTCCCTCCCACACCCTATGAAATGGCATGATAGAGAAAGATAAATGATATTTTATAATTTGATGTGAACACTTTACGTAGTTATGATCATACATTTGCTACATTTGTATTATTTTTTATTTTAATGCAAAAAAAAAGGCAGCAAAAGCTCCAGTGCCTTTCGCCCAACTGTTTCTCACGCACTGTCTCTTTCATTTTCTGTATTGGAAGTGCCATACGAGTCCAAAATACCAATACAGTTGCTAAACTACTATACCACCTACTAAATTGATGATCAACTTGCAAAACCATAAAGCACAAATTTCAGTAGCTCATATGCATGCAATCACACACTCTGCATCGCTTATTGACGTCAAGATTTAAGAACAGATTCAACATGTGCATCGGAACAGATGATGCCATACTGATAGTAAGCCAACAGCGAGCAAAGTGCAAATGAGCATCCCAGTTTTCAACAGTTCACAGAAAGAAATAAAAGCTGTGTTGTTGTATCTTACCACACAAACAAGTTGCCTCTTCCCAAGATTGTCAACACCTTGATTATTGAACTTCGCTTCTAGAACAACAATTAGTGCAACATTATCCTATTAAAAACCAGAAGGTTCTCATCAGAAATGGCAAGCTGAATCAACCTAACTGGAAACACAAAAATAGAGAAACAAGAGAGATATACAAATAGAGATGGGATGGAGGGAGAAGCGAAGACAGAGAGAGAGAGAGAGAGAGAGAGAGTGGTCAATCTACCTTAACCAATCGATTTAAAGCTGTTTTCTTCTGAGCATTAGGAACCAAAGCATCAGTTAAAGATTGTGCAGCTTTATTGAACTCAACCTGCGCACGCAATCTTATGTACTATTAGAAGATGAGATACTAATGCACCATCTATATCAGGTAACCTACATACCTCGTATTTTTTGACATGTGAGAATCTATCTCTACGAAAGAAAGTAGCAGATCCATCAATGGTCTGAATACTGCCAGTGAAAACCTGCACAAAATAACAATAAGAATATCAGGCAGAAATCTTAAAAATGCCTGATAGGAGAAAGGTTCATCAAACAAACCTCGGAAGTCCTCCTCTTGAAAAGAGCCTGATATCCATGTTTGTCTAGCTCGGGGGCAAAAAATTCCTCAAAATGATTGCTTTGTACCTGAAATGAAGCTGATAGCATACTTAGCAAATCCTTTCATGAAATAAAAGTATAACTTCTAGAAGAGGAAAACAAAGGAACAGGGCTAATTAGAACAAGAAATTCTCTAAATGTAATCATAAGAAATTTCAAGATAGAAGAATACAGACAGCTATAAGCCACTCTGTATGAAAGTGCAATGTAGATTCTATAGAATATATACATGGATAATTTGTGAACACCAAGCTTTTAGTATAAAAAAGGTTCTTCAGATTTTTAAGATGGCAATGAGAATGAAATAAGCTGGCATAATAGATCCTAAATATAATGCTTCAACTATGCTCACATACCTCTTGAAGACAAACAATGTCTGCAAGGTAGCCGACGATTTCTCTTAACAAATTCTGTCTGCGATAAGGCCAAGAAAGGGCCCAAGAAGGACAATAACCGTACAAATCACTGGTAGCATATGAATCGCATAGAATGTTGTATGAAAGCACAGTAAAAGTTCCGGCAGATGAAAGACGCCCTTCTAAATCCAAATTCCCTGCCACATCAACATTGGTGACTGAAATTAATCGTCTTGGACTTGGGGATGGAGCTGGAATGACACGTGATGTTAATATAGTGTTTGGATGTCCAACAGGCGATTTTGTTTCTGAATCTACCACAACACATTCAAACTTAAGAACATGACCAATATCATCTGCTGTGGGTGTGTATGTTTTGGAACGTCCAACTTCAAACCAAGTTTCACCACCATTTCTCTGTGTAAATGCAGCAGGATATAATGGTGTTGTACCATTTGCAAGGCCAGAGATGGCTTGCACACTAGATAGACTTGTATTATTCACCCCAGATGTTCCATTATTGAATCGTCCATATATATCCTCCTCTTCATTTCCATTTTCATTAACAGCACTAGCAGCACGCTCATGCAGAACACGATGGTGTTGCCATGCATCAGAAAAACATTTAGGAGTGCAATGGTAGCTTTTGGCGACAGGTATTTTGGCTTTAACACAGCCTAAGCACTGCAAAGTGGCTTGTTCTGATGGATGTACACTGCAGATAGCAACTTTCTTATCACTTTGTATGCGATACCTGCAAGACCGGATAAACGTGGAAAACATTGGTAATATGAAGTTATGAGCACTACATACTGAGTTCAATAATTAAGGCCATGTGCCATCACTGATCATATATACTATCAATGAAACAGTAACAACTATATATGACCCGAAGGGGATAGCAACAATGAAATTCATCATCAGTAACAAATTACAAATGAAAAGTGTCAGAAGTTTGAAGTGCTTCTTGGGTATAGGGAGGTATCCCAATAATATAAGGGCATTTTCCTTTGTTTGAACAAGTATGTTAACATGCCTAACACTAAGGAAGCAGATTCAGCCATCATCCCTAATGTCAAGCTATAAACTAATGGTGGAGAGCTTCTTGATAACCAAGGGTAATACCACACTAGTGCACTCCTCAAGGTTTTGAATTTTGCAAAACCAATACCAACATTACTTAAAATACCATCTCATGTTCACAAGTTATTTCCAATAATCAGTCTATATGCTCAGTTATCATACTTGTGTTCTACAAAAATAAGAAGATCACCATGCAATCTTACAACTTTCACAAAGCTAGAATGATATCACAATGCAAAATGCAAAATGCAAAATGAAATGAATAGGGTCATAAATTTTAACATTATAGCTACCCGTGAATTTTACATCCACCAAAATTTCATTTATTATCTTTCCCAGTGTTGATGAATATCTTGATCCTTGCAATACAGTTCGAAATAAGTAGCCAACAAAGTTACATTATGTGAGTTTTTTAAATTGTTCTGGTATAGTTTCACAGTAACACAACATAATTGGTTGTTATTCAAATGTGCAACACTTCCGGTTTGTAAGTAATAGTCCAAAGAATGCAAGAGTACCTAACACAGGTCAGATTAAATCAACCAGAAACCACATACAAAATTTTCAAGTTGGGAATGTCCATAACCAGGTATGTTGTTCCTTCATAGCACGAAGTTTAGAAACTTCCCTTTCCAACTACAGAAAAATCTAAACAAAAACCACCACAATGACAGCTCAACTCACATCAAACTTAACACTAAAGTACATCACCAAAAAGTGTTCACAAGAGTATTTATTCCAATCAAAAAGTTGAATAGGCAGTGTAACAAAATGGAACAAAGCGGGTGCAGAGAAATATGATCTTGTTCATGTGCACCTGTTGAACCACAAACTACAAACCTTCTGTGGTCCAAACTTAATTTCAATATGGGCTGTTATATTAGAACAAACAGGTGGCCTGCAGTTATATACAGTTAAGATCTCGCTCTTCTAAAATATTGCCAAGATTTACAGATAAACATCATGGCCTCATGACCCTGCATCCTTCAGCATTTCAGTCATGATCATGACTGCATTGCGTACAAGAGCCTAACCACTCCCAACATTGACTAATGCCTACAGTACTATTACAGATTAAAATACACTATGCACATATGTATGTGTATATACATATACAGACAGATGTTATATTTTTTCAAACTCACTATCATGCATAAGACCAAGCAAGCCCGTCAAATTGTATGGTTCGAAGTTCAAACTAAAGACGGCAAAAGGGAGTAAAGTTTTAGAACTCAAAGTTCTATTAATAAGCCTCCAATTTGAAGGTGATTCATACCCTACCATTTTCATGTATGCATACTACAACAATATGAATAAGGAGTCGCCTATTCTTATGGTCAGCTTTAACTTGAAAATATCAAGTTGCACAGCCATCATCCTCAACAACATGATGAAGAAGTAATTAAATCTTATCCGAAAGATCCTATGAAAGAAAGCTATACTCTCTTGTCAATCCAAAGAAACCTACAACACCACAAATTAAATTAAACCCAAAAAGGACGCTCATACTCCTAATCAGTAATCACTTTTTATAGAAATCCTAAACTCCGTTGTCTTACAGTATAAAAGCACCTACTTTGTGTTATATGGTGTGCCTATCATTATGCCTGTCTTGATGAATATGTTCCATATTGCTAAAAGACTAACACGCTGATCCAGGATCAAGACCAATTATCATATCTAAAAAGTTCACTCGCCTGACGCTCACAAACTACAGACAAAGTCCCAACTATCAATATTCAGCAAAACAAGAGCACCTAACCAAACTTGTCATCACACAAACTTCCAACACTATTGTAGATGAGAAATCCATTTTCCATGAAATGAATAAATCGTAAGAATTTCTAAAAACACTATCATTCAAACCGCAAAGAGAACATATTCAAGTAAACATGCCACGTCACAACATATTAATGGGAAAATACTAAAATCAAACAGTTATAGTTTCACTAAACAATATGCATTTATTAGTGATCGAAAAAGGCTAAAGAGTGCCAACAAGAAGTAATCACTAACCACTTATATCTCAAGAAATGGCCCTCAATTGGCAAAGACTCGGGAACATCCTCGGTGGAGACAGTCTTATCAGGATGACGTATAAGTACGTAGGGCGAAAGCTCGCAACCCACAATCGGAATATCGGACGGGAGGTGCACTCTCAGCACGCTCAGCATGCTTTTAATCACAACAAGAACTACTGTCAAGAAACCCTAACCCCAATTTAATAAACAACGAAGACGAAAGTAAAATTATGATGACGAATTCCAGCAAGAAAACGTGGCGGACATCTGGCGAATCCGCCATTACATATCTTTGACACGCGCCAGCCTTCCTCAATCTTTTGATTTTCTTTTTCAAAATCAAAAAAAAAAAAAAAAAACCTTGTTGAATTTAACCAAGATTCCAAGATCGATGAACAAGCTTCTTCTGCACCCAGAGATCCTGAAGGAGGGGGCTCTCTCTCTTTCTCTCTATTCGAACGAACAATGAGAAGTGGAATTGAAAAAGAAAAAGAAAAAGAAAAAGAAAATGGAGTGAGTGATTGATCAGAGGAAGTATATAGAAGAATGAGAATTAGGGTTTGAAAGGGCGTGTTATATTTGGGGTTTTACAAGCACAGATAAGAAGAAGACGCAATATTTGTCTATTGGGTCTCTCGTCACAGTTTCTTGTATATATCTATTTCTATGTAAATCTGGGAATGGATAAAACAAATCTCACTTTACTTTTACTTTCCTACTATATTTATTATTTATTATTTATTATTTATTATTCTATTTTTAAAAATATTAAAATGGAATCATGTTTGTTTAAAGAACCAATTTTTAAATAATCCCCCACTTTAAATAATAAACTTTTAGAATTTTCGATTTATTGGATGTTTATATTTTTAACAATAAAAATCCTTATATTTTTTAAAACTTATTAAATAGGTCCTTAACATTGTTATCATATACTTTATGCTTTGTTCAAACCTGGTACTCACAAATTAAAAGGTTGAATCTGTCATAGTTTGCTATCTGCCATATTTTCCAACAAAATGTGGCTTCATCAGTTTCCAACCCAGATTATTGTTATCTGCCATAATTTACATTTAGCTATGAATACATCAATTAAGGTCGAGTCTTCTAATAATACCTATATTGGTCATGTTGTAGTCTTAATTATGGATTTTGGGTTCCTTGTGGCTTATTTTTGGGTTGCTTTATGCTCGATTATTTTCGTTTTGTTAATCTTGTTTTCCTTTGATTACATTGATATTTGGTTATTTGTGCTCCTAATTATGGATTTGTTAGTGCTCTAATCATAAGCTTTCTTTTATCATGCTAATGTTCCAATCATGTTTTGCTTCTAATCATATTTCAATAAGGCAATAGCTTTATGTTAACCACAAGTGTGGTGCTTAATTGGTCTGAACTTGGCTTCAAATGTCAAAAGTACCAAGAGGTCTCAGGTTCAAATTCAAAAAGGAATAAAACTCTCTTTGTGGCCACGGAGGTTCAAATGCAGTGACTCCAGGTTATCTGCAAAGCAGGTGGTCGTCCTGAGATTAGTCGGCTCGCATAGCGGGTTGGATATTCAGGTTAATAAAAAAAATAGCTTTATGTTAATGTTCCAATCAAATTTTTTTTAACTTTTACTTTGAAATGGATTGCATTATTTACGAGTAATGCATTCATTGAAAAAAATTGTGTTGGTATTCTTGTTTACATAATGGCATCAGGGTGTAATGATGACTCTGGTTATGGTATAAGTGATGACTCAAGTGAACAAATGTCGGATTCTTTATCTTTGGACCTTGTAGATGAGGACGATGTAATCAATTTAAACAAAACATTTGATGATCCTTTTCTAAATAAACTTTGTAATATATACATGGTTGATGATGTTCCAATCAGTATGGATGAAGGGATGGGGATATTCGTAGCAATCTGGGAAGGCAATAACATATAGCAATTGCTTGGAAACGGGACATAATGTAGGGACTTGTAAAAATGAGAAGGACCCACCACCTACACCTGTTAAGCCAAAAGGTAGACTAAGACTCAACATTTCAAAGCCGGCTACAACAAGAAGAGGCTCTAGAGGTAGAAAAGGCAATAGAGGTGGGAAAATACCATATATTATATTATATATATATATATATATATCTATATAGGGGCTGGTTCAAATACTAACCCAATATTTTGTGCAAACTATGCTAACCCATCTTAATCGTTCATTTTCTCATCTAACGGTTATATTATTAAATGAGATTAAATAAATAATAATTTAATTAATATATTAATTAATATGTGTATGAACAATTGTTCAAATGATAAATTGGTCAAAAATTTGTATTAATTAATATGTGTATGAACAATCGTTCATCTTCGTGCCTATATCAA